AGCATCATAGGAGCAGAGAGGCTGCCAAGCAGCATCATAGGAGCAGACCTCTCTGCTCCTATGATGCTGCTTGGCCTGCTGTGTTCATCCAGCCCTGCACCTTGTTGTCTCGCTTATTAAATGTTGTTAATTTACCCGCCTCAACCACCTCCACTGGCAGCTCATTCCACATGCATACCACTCTCTGTGTAAAAAAGTTGTCCCTCACGTTCCCATGTATTCTTTCCCCCCTTACCTTAAATTGATGCCCTTGAGTCCTCGATTCTCCAACCCTGGAAAAAAGACTGAGAGCTTTCACCCTATCCATGCCTCTCATGATCTTATACACTTTTATAAGATCCCCCCGCAGTCTCCTACGCACTGAAGAAAAAAGTCCTAGCTTGTCCAACCTGTCCCTATAACTCAGTCCCTTGAGTCCTGGCAACATCCTTATAAATTTCTTCTGCACACTTTCCAGTTTAATAACATCCTTCCTATACCAAGGTGACTAAAACTGAACACAATACTCCATGTGCGACCTCACCAATGTCCTGTACAAGTGCAACATAACTTCCCAACTTCCATAATTATTGCTGTGACTGATGAAGGCTGACTTCAGCCTTACTGAAATCCATATAGACTATGTCTACCACCCTGCCCTCATCAATCTTCCTGGTCACTTCATCAAAGAACGCTAACAAATTTATGAGGCATGATCTCCCATCAGTGAACTGGATTGGTTTTTCCTGACAATCAACAATGGATTCATGGTCATCGCTAGGACTCCTAATAACAGATTTTTATTGAATTCAAAGTTCATCATCTGCCATGGTGAGATTCAAACTCAGGATCCTCAGAACATCACCTGGGCTCTCTGGAATAACGGCCCAGTGATAATACCACTAGGTTGTCACCTCCCCCCAATAATGTGGCCTTATGTATTACTATATGTAGCTTTCAGTACGTACAAGTGTATCACACTACAAATCCAACTAGTTGTCAGCATAATTATTTTGCACACTCAGGATTTTTTTAGTAAATGAGTTATATCTAATGTTGGACATCATGTTGTGAATTTTACTGGCATGGGCTGTTTGTGTACAGTCAGCACCTTCCTTGTTGCAAACTGCTAAAGGGATATGCTATTTGTATATGATATACCATATCCTTTGGAAATTACGCCCTACATTCTTGGTATCACACTGGCACTGAAATTCATATACCACACTACTCATTTGTGTGATGGGCAGAATGTCTTTTAGTTTGAAGGCAGCACCCTTTTAGTGGAAAACACCATTCACATTGCTACTGCACAGTAGCAATGTGAAACAGCTAGCTTCACTTGTTGATGGTGGAAGCAGAGTCCTTTATTTTTACGATAGGTTCTTGATAAGTGAAGAAGTGAAAGGTTATCACGAGTTGGGGGATTGTGGATTTGAGGTTACAATCCAATCAGCCATGATCTTATTAAGTGGCTGAACTATCTTAAGGAACTGAATGACCTGCTCCTGTTACAAGAGTAAATGGTTTGTAAACCTTTCTATAGGTATGTGAAGAGAAAAAGATAGTAAAGACAAATGTCACAAGGAAAAGTTACAATTGTGAACAAAGAGATGGCATATCAATTGAATACATATTTTGGTCTGTCTTCACACGGGGTCTCAATTAATATCTCAAAATGTTGTGGAACACGGGGAATTGTGAGAGGGAAGAACTGAAGGAAATCAGTCTGAGTAGGGAAATGATGTTGGGGAAATTGATGAAATCAAAGGCTTATAAATTCCCAGAGCCTGATAATCTACATCCTACAGTAATGAAGGAAGTGGCCCTAGAAAGAGTGGATGCATTGTACGTTTTTGAGTCCTAATAATCAAATCTCAATACAGGTATGAATTTGTTTGTTTTGAATCTTTGACCAATAAGGTAACAGGAGACTGGTGTAGTAAGTCATGAAGCCTGTAGCAAGTGATAGAATTACTTCTTTCTCTCACGCACACCCTTTCAAACCATCCTGCATTTGCCAAAACCCACAGCATGAACGATTACATAATTACATTCTGATTGGCCTCACTGAAACATATAAAGTTTTAACAGGTCTAGACAGGGTGATGCAGGAAGGATGTTCCTGATGCCCAGGGAGTCCGGAGTCAGGGGTCACGGTCTAAGGGTATTCAGTAAACAATTTAGAACTGAGATGAGGAGAAATTTCTTTGGAAAGTGGTGAGCCTGTAGAATTCTCTGTCACAGAAAGCAGTTGAAGTCAAGAAATCAAATGTTTTCAAGAATGGTCCCAGGAATGAAAAGCTTAACATATGAGGAATGTATGATGACTCTGGGCCTATACTTATTGGAGTTTAGAAGGATGAGGGGGGGATCTAATTGAAACTTACAGAATAATGAATGGCCTGGACAGAGTGGATGTTGGGAGGATGCTTCCATTGATAGGAGAGACTAGGACCCGAGGGCACAGCCTTAGAGTAAAGGGAACGGAGATAAGGAGAAACTTCTTCAGCCAGAGAGTGGTGAATCTATGGAATTCACTGCCATAGAAGGCTGTGGAAGCCAGGACCGAGTACATTTAAGACTGAGATAGATAGGTTCTTGATTATCAAGGGGATCAAGGGTTATGGGGAGAAAGCGGGAGAATGGGGTTGAGGAACTTATCAGCCATGATTGAATGGTGGAGCAGACTCGATGGGCCGAATGGCCTAATTTCTGCTCCTGTGTCTTATGGTCTTATTAAGAATGAAATAGATATAGTTCTTATGGATAAAGGGGTCACAGGATATGGGGCAAAAGCTTGAACAGGGTAACAGAGTCTGATGATCAGCCACGATTAGATTAAATATTGTAGCAGGCTCGAAGGGCCAAATGGCCTACTCCTACCTCTGTTTTTTATGTTTCTATGTCTATGTAGATCATCTGATCAGAGTAGCCATTACCCCACAGGATTTTTCTTCTCAGGCTGTATAAATGTTATTTTGCCTTTTATTTGTTATTTCTTGCGAATTGTACTGATAAGTGCAAGATTGAAAGCTTCATCAAAGTGTGTCTTTTTCACTTATTACTTCTGATTGGGTAGTGTGGTAGACCCCAATGAGTCCATGACTAAACAGGCTACCCGTGCTGTTGAAGCATACAAGATGATCATGATTTTTCGGTTTGATGTCTTAACTGAGGCATTGGCAATGCAGAGACGCTATAACTTCTTTCAACACCCTAGACTAGGGATGAGAAAAAACACCCAGGGCCCTTGAGTTGATTATTATCTTGTGCACATTCAACAAGGTCTGATTTGTATTTGTTTCTGCTGTCCCCTTGGTAAAAGGGGTCACTCACAGCACAGTCTGCAATGTGAAAGTTAACCACTTGGACAAGATATTTGAGGGATACTTGGCAATGTGGAATGACTCCGGAAAGGTTAGCAACATCAGGCAAGGAGGATAGAATCCAAAAGAAAAGTCCAATACTTTAATATCTGGCTATGATGTTATGTTGTCTTGCCACTCACAATGCAAACAATGTGCAGTTTAGATCAATGTTGTATCTCAAGTAGTAATTGACTGTCATGTGTTGTCTGCAGGGAATTCTAGGTTCTGGTTTTGCCCTCAAAGTGCAAGAACAACATCGACAGAAACACTTTGAGAAAAGAAGAACACCTGCTGCCAATCTCATTCAAGTAAGTGAAGAATTTTACACTCTGGCAGCATTATTTGAGAGCACATTACAATCACAGCAAATCACTTTAAATGGTCAGGCACTGCTTTGTTACCTAAGTCTCAATGCTAAAAAATGGCTTTGAACACAAGTTTTGGGGTGGGTTTTGATGTAGTGCAACATGAGCAATCCGGCAATCTGAATGAAGGAAAAGCTTTTATCTACTAAACCCCGCACTTCTCCTGGAATCCATAGCAGCTCAGGAAATATAGTAATGGTTTCCACCCTCGCGATTTAAGGCGAAGTTGATGAGAATGTTACAAATGTTCTGATAATAATCTTCTAAAGTTTTTGTAATTTTTCAGATTGGGAAATTGTGTGTCCTGTGACCTTTTACAAATGTTTAGAAAGAGAAATCAGGAAATTATAGACCAGTTAACTCAACATCCGTTATTGTGAAATTATCAGGATAGCGTGACTCAACATCTTGAAAACTTTCAGTAGATCTGAGAGAACTGGGAAGGAGATCATGCCTCACAAATCTGGTTGAATATTTTGAAATGTTGACTAAAGTAGTGAACAGGGGGACACCTGTGGATTGACCTGAGTGGCAGGAGACAGAGACTAGGGTTAATGGTCAGGATATGACTTATGGTCACAAATCTATTCTCTGGAGTTTAAAAAGGTAAGGATGATTTGATTCTAGTTTGCAAAACATTAAGAGGAACTGGTGAGAAGATAAAAAGGAACTATTTTTGCCAGTTTAAAGAATTTACAAGGTGTAGTCAAATTTTAAAGCTTGACTTTAATCAACTGTAATTTTATCTCGCAGATGGATAGATTTTTATTAGCCAAAGTTATAAAGGGATGGTGCAAAGGTATGCTTATGGATTTAGGTCACAGTCAGTCATGATTTATTGAATGGTGGAATGGGATCAAGAGGCTGAATAGGCTGATTCTATTTCTTCATTCAAACGTAATGGAATAGGAAAGAGGTGGCAAGGGTTCGGATGGGAAACGGCTGCAATGGAAGAGGGCTGGAGTTATGAAGTAGGAACAAGACTGACTACAAGGGTATGCTGGAAGAAGCTCTATTTTCTGAAATTAAAAATACCTGGCTAAGTTGATTTTCAGTGATTTAGCATCTGTGAATGCAAGTACACAAAAGTTGTTGTATCCGCTGTTTAAATTTAGTTACACCCTGCTAACGAGAAGTATTCCTGTCCAAATGAAATCCTTTACATTCTTGAATCCTGAGATGAAGGGTCAAGCCTTATATCACAGCAAATACACAGAGTGGGAAGAAGAGCAAGAACAGAGTACAAATCAGGAGCTTCACATTTAAAATCCTGTAAAATACAAGGGAAGAGAGACTGAGAACATAACATTAAGAACTGACCAAAGGCCATTGAGCCTCTTGAGCCTGCATCACCATTCAGCTGGGTCATACCTGAACTTAACTTCACTAACCTGACTTTGTTCCATAATTCTTTGATACTTTACCTAACAAAGCTTTATTTATTTCACTTTGAAGCTCCATTTATCTCTGGATCCCCAACCATTTGAGGGAAAGAGTTTCTAATTTTTACTCCCCTATGTGTGAAAGTACATGTTGGTTTCGTCCTAGATGAACTGGCATGAATTTTAAGATCGTGTCTATTTGCTCTTAATTCCTTCACCATAGAAACGTATTTCCCTATCTGGCCTATCAAATCCCTTTAATATTTGAAATAGGGACTGATCAAGAATGTGAGATCATGTTTGATTTTGCTAGTAATGATCTTGTGAAAGAAGACACGTCTTCCTTCTTTTAGGTGCAATATGTGGTCAGATAGCTTGGTTGCTAAGTGTGCCAGGTGTTAAAATGGCAGCCAACAGATTTATCCCAGATAGTTGCTCCTGAACATATGCAGTCTTAAGCCAGAGATTTCACCATCAATTTTAAAGAAATTTGTGAACTCAGTGACTTTGAGTCCAGTTAGCTAAGTGTTCCTTTGTTGATAGTTCAAAACTGTGTTCTCTTCTTTCCAGCCTCTCTCTCTTTCCTATCCCCAGCCCCACCTCCACCATTCTGAAACAACTTCTCCCTTTCTTTCACATATTTTTCAACCTCACTCTATCTCCAACCCCTGTTCAGCTTCCCTCTCATGCAATCCTTTCTGGTTGTGCAGTCTGTCTGTCTTTCCACAGCTCCCTTACAGCCCCACCTACCTCCCAGTCTCTCCCTCATAACCCTTCAACCCACTACCACCCCATGGCCTTCCCATCTCCTTTCACACATGTTGCAGGCTGCCTATCTTCTGGGCTGTTCCCTTTCAGCAGCACCCTATTTTCCCCTCATTGCCTTGTAGCTGCTGTCTCCTTCATCCCGTTACAACCTCCCTGAAAGTCCCCATATTACCTTGCGGCTGTCCTTTCTCCCACCCCATCTGCCTTGCACTCTCCCTGTCTCATCCATCTCTCCTCTCAGTCTATCCTCCATCCCCTACTGATCTACCTTGCAGCTTCCCTATCTTTCTCAAATCCCCACTTACAGATCCCATCTCCACCATCCTCTTTGCAGCTTCCTCTTACCACCACCCAGCATCCCCCAAATCCTGCGGGCAAACAAGCATCTCGCAAAATACGTGGCTCCCCTTCAGTGGCTTTCTCCCTCCCACCACCTCTCAGCTTCAGAGTTCCAAGGTGCAGAGTGTTCTAGGCTTTCTAGTTAATGAGTAACAAAAGGTTAGTATATAGGCCACTGCACATAACCAAGGGGCAGCATGGTGGCTCAGTGGTTAACACTGCTGCCTCACAGCACCAAGGACTCGGGTTCAATTCCACCCTCGGGTGACTGTCTGTGTGGGTTTTCTCCGGGTGCTCCATTTCCTCCCAAAGTCCAAAGATATGCAGGTTGGGTCAATTGTCCATGCTAATTTGCTCCACAGTGTCCAGGGATATGTAGGCAAGGTGGATTAGCCATGGAAAATGCAGGGTTGTTGGGCTGGGTGGGATGTTCTTCAGCGGATCGCTGTGGACTGGATGGGCCAGATGGCCTGCTTTCACACTGTTGGTATTCAAATTCCATAAGGCTAATAGATTTATTCTAAGGGGAATTTTATTTAGAAGTAAGCATGTTATGCTTCAGTTGTACAGGGCATTGGTGAGACTACATCTCAATTACAGTGCGCATTTTTTGCTTCTATGTTTAAATGTAATGGAAGTGGTTAAGAGGAGGTTTACTATTTCAGTACCTAGAATGAGCAGGTTTTCTTATGAGGAAGGCTTGGACAGCGTGGATGTCTTTCCACTAGAGTGAGGAGTGATTTGATTGAACTGTATAAGATCCTGAATAGTCTTGGAGAAGCGGAGTGAAAAAGATGTTTTCTCTTATGGATGGTTTCTAAAATTACAGGTTGCCCTTTTGCAACAGAGATAAGGAGAATTATTTTCTCTTAGAGGATTCTGTGACTTTGCCTCAGAAGGTGGTGGAGGCAGGGCTATTGAATATATTATAGGTGGAGGTAAATAGATCATTATTAGGATAGGGAATAGAAGGTAATTGGGAGCGGATGGGAATGTATAGTCACAAGGTGAACACATCAGCAAATCTTATTGAATGTTGGATCAGGCTCAAGACACTGAATGGCCTACCCCTGCCCCTAATTCCTGTGTTCATGTGATTTTCCTGCATGGCCTCCTGCTCCAGCCGCTGGTCTCTGGAAGATACTTCCCCCAGAGACTCTCTCGTGCCTTGCACCTACCCTGTTTATTGCTCCTCCGATCACAGATTGTATCTTTCCCGTGTTCTTTGCTGATAGTCTGACTAGAGTAAGAACAGGAGCGAACCAGTTTCTGTTTGAAGGAGCAGTCCGCACCATTTTTTGTCAGATTTTCAGATTTGTGAGGAACAAGTTACATTGGAAACCAGGATGTGCTACCTGAGAAGAACCTAAGAGACTGCTAGTTGTCGAGGTGGGCTGGGCAGAAAATCTGCCTAAGGGTTTCAGCACTTGTACAAAAATTAAAATAGAAGAATGAAACATACCAGTAACTCACCCAGGGTCTTCCGACAGCACTTCCCAAACTACGACAATCAAGAACAAGGGCAGTAGATACTTGGAAACACCACCACCTGAAAGTTCCCCTCCAGGCCACACATCATCCTGACTTGGAATGACTTCACCATTGCTTCACACCTGCTCCAGGGCAATAGGGATGGGCAATAAATCCCAGACAGCAACACTCACATCCCAAAGTTCTCATGGGTAAATTACAGAAAGCTAGCAGTTGAGTTCAGTGGGTGGTAGGGAAGGGAAATGTTGGCCTTTATTTCAACGGGATTGAAGTACAAAAATAAAGGTAGAGGTTCTTGCTAAAACTACACACAGCACTAGTCAGACCACGAAGGAAAGATATACTGGTGTTGAAGAAGTCCAGAGTAGGTTCTGCAGGTTGATACCAGGTATGAAGTCATTTTATATGGAGAGAGTAATTTGGGATTCTACTTAGAAGAATGAGAGGAGATCTTATTGAAACATTTGAGATGCTTAGAGGACTTGACAGGTTATATGTGGAAGCATTTTTCCCATTGTGGGAGGGTCTGGGACCAGAAAGGATAATCTCGTAAGGAGTCGCCCAGTTAAGACAGAAATGAGGAGGTATTTTTTCTCACACAGTGTGGTGGATCTGTGAAATTCTTTACTGCAAAGTACTGTTGAGGCTGGAGCATTAAATAGATTGTGGCTAAGGTAGAAAGTTTTTTTTATCAGTAAGGAAGTCAAGGGTTATGGGGATAAGGTATGAAAATGGAGTTGAGGATTATCAGATTAGCCATGATCTCAATGAATGACAGAGCAGATTTGATGGGCTGAATGGTGTATATCTGCTTACAGTCTTTTACACTTCATAACAATGAACACAGAGACACTATAAAGTCCACGGCTCCTCAGCACCTTAGCAATTCTTTATTTCAACATAAGGATATGAATTGTTGGAGAACTTTGAATCAGGGTAAATCAATAGGGTAGCAGGGATTGT